GAACCATCTTTGTCACTTGAGGCCCAGGTGGCTTCAGTGGCTCAGAGTGCCTTCTACCAGCTTTGGCTGGTGGCTCAGCTATCCCCCTAGTTGAACAGAGATAGTCTGGTTCCAGTAATCTACATTCTAGTAATCTCTAAACTAAATTACTGCTATGTATTCAATTTGAGGCTGCCCTTGAAGCTGCTGCTTCAGAAGTTGCTGCTTATGTAAAATGCAGCACCCAGATTAATAACAGGGGCCAGACAGTCTGGTTTCTTCCACTGGCTGCCTACATGCTTCTGAGCCCAGTTCAAAGTACTGGTTTCGACCCACGTGGCTGATGGCAACAAGAAGGGCCTTTTCAGTGGTGGCTTCCCAGTTGTGGAATGACTTCTACTCTGAGGCCTGCCTGGTGCTACCTTTAGCATCCTTTCAGCATCAGGTTAAGATTATCATTGGACATTTAATTGGTTCATTGGGGCTTTGTTAGCTGCTTAAATGGGTTGTCAGATTGATTCATATAGGCATGGTAAATTTTTATATGCATCTCAATTTGCATTTAAATTTTCTATGATAATCATTTAATGATGTTTTTAATGTTGCATTTTATGTGTTGTTGTAAACTTCCCAGAGAGCTCTGCCCATTGGGCAGTATAGAAATTGATGAATTAATTAAAATATGACCGTGCTGCACTAGCCTGTCCTACAGAGAACCACCCACCCCATTGGGATCACTTCAGCAAGCACTCCTTACCAGTAAGTGCCAGTAAGTCCTGACCTGCATTCCCAAACTGGTATATTTTTTTTGGGCCGGTCCTGTTCTTACACTGGCCACAAATGCCTTTCAAGGTTGCTGTTTTACAGTCCAGATGGTCTTTGGAAATCTTTAGTCCAAAACACTGGAAGGGCCACTAGTTGTCTACTCAAGTTGTCTTAGATGTTCAGTGCTATCCACATTTAAACCCGCATCTGTGGGATGGCCCCCTCTAGCAATTTTTGCCCCTACCAGCACAGAGCTGAACTCTCTCTCTCTCTCTCTGCGCATGCCCAAAAGCAGTGGTTAAGTACATTGCCTAAGCAGCAAACACCTGCAGCTCCAGTCTCAGCTCAGCCGTAGACTTACTGCTTGGCCTTGGGCTGCCATTACCTTGCAGCCTCCACACCCCATTTGTAACATGGGAATAATCTGCCTTTCCTCAAAAGGTTTTTGTTTCAATTACTAATAATTTTATGGATATTGAGAAAATTCCATTTAGACATAATGCACATGAAATGAGTATTTGCACATTCACAGCAATAGAAGCTATATAGAAGTTTCAATAATGTGCTGAGGTGTGATAAATAAATAGACAAGTGAGAGAATAGTCTGGGGCCAAAGACAAAATAATCAATTCCAGCATTATTTTTGCAGTGGTTATGGCTCCTTGCTTGAACAATCTGTAACAGCCATAAGTGGTTGCTTAACTATAGGATTTGAAAAGACTGATTGCTATCAGATTAAGGTTATATGGCTTCAACAGTGTGTACATCTCATTTACAAAAACATTTTTTGAAGAATTCCTCACTCAGAAATATAGATTTTTCCCTTGGAATGAGAAATTCACATGCAATCTCAGCCCCACAAGGGGTAAAAATAGATCAACAGAGAGAAGTGTGCATATTCATTGGCTGTTGGCAAATGCTGAAATTGTAATTTCACTGTTCATCCACTGAACTCCAAATTAAAAATGTGATGAGCCAAGATCAGGGGACAATATGGGAATTCTGTGCTCGTTCTTTCTCCAGGCCAGCCCCCTCCCCCCATCCTTCTCTCATACACACTTCCCTGGTACATTAGGCACCAATGAAGTGCTTCAAGTCATCAAGCCTCTTTCCAGAACCTTGAAAAAGCAAGGAAATAAACTGAAGTTGGTTTTTAAGCCAGCAAATGCAGTTGGAGCACTGCAGAAATGAGATCCTTATCTGGCCTAAATGGGGCTTTCTCCACTGCCTTCAAAGGGACTGTGCTAGCTGGCATAATTTGTGGTTCCTGCATATCTCTTCTAGTAGTGTTAGAGATGGCCCCTCAGCTCAGCTGAATTCAGTTCACCAAGGAAGCGTAATTCTTTTCTCACTGGGTAAATAGTAAAAAGAAATACCTACCTTGATTAAACAATTGCACAACACAAATGGCAACAGAAGTGCCCCGCATACTACCTTTTAATGAATGCACACACCTCAGACAAAACCTTCAAGACTTTGCTTCCATGCTTTCAGATCATATAAATGCCAACAGATTTCTCATTTGCAGTCCCCCTCCTTCTCCGGGACATATTCTATAACTGCTTCTAATTCTTTACCCTGATTTCTTGCTCTACTTCTGCCCAACTGTGTTGACTGCCATGACTTGGCCAAAACAAACCTGGGAGCTGAAAGCCAGTGTGGCATGGTGGTTCGAGTGCTGGACTGGGGTACAGAATATTTGGGTTTGGGTCACCAGATATTCTGGCCAGGAAGCTCACTGAAGCAGTCACTGACTTTCAGCCTAACCTACTTCACAGGGTTGTTGTGAGGATAAAATGCAAAAGAAGAAGAGGACGGTATGAGTGGTCTTGGTTTCCTTCTAAGAGGAAACAAAGGCAACTGCAATGATAAATGGAATAAACTGTAATTTAGCAAAGTACTGTAAAACTATGTTCGCATTGATTACACACGTCAAACTAGAAGACCCTGGGGTAAGTAAAGCTTCAATTGCAGGGCCCCTCTGCATTGTGTATGACCCATGGATATAACAAAATGCAATAGCTGCATATACATTAGAAGTTCAATAAAACAAAGGTTACTTATTTTTTAAAAAATCCAATCAGTAAAAACTGACTGAACCCAGAACCAGCAGTCCTAAAACATGCCCTTAATCAAGGTTATTTGCTTGATTTCTGTTTCTGTTCCATCACTGTTATGGTGACTAGTACATATGAATAAGAAAGGTTAGACTGTTTCTAACCCAGTCTACCTGTTTTTAGTATATAAAATGGTTTGAAATGCCTTTGACATCCTGATGGCACAACCCTCAGTTTGTAAACCATTTTGTTCCAATAAATACCAGGAGGATCTTTACAACATTTTGTACATCTACCAATTACAATTCTACAGTGATGAAAGATTGTGTGATACTTAATTCATTAGAAGCTTTTCTTGTATTTGTTGCAGGTGAATTAAAAGAGAAAAAGCAGTAGGGAGGCCTTCATTAGAATGATGCACATTATGCATCAGAAGTGCCAGAATGACAAAGCTTTTCACAAGTTAAGTACTTCATTGTGTGTAGAATGAAATCCATATAGATGCTAACTTTGACCTAAATAATGGCAGCCTTACAGGAAGTCAAAATACAGCATTTGGAAAAAAAGCTGATTCTGTAAAAAGTTACTATTTCAGCATCACAATCACTGGAGGCACTTTGGAGGTCATCTAGTCTAATCCCTGGTCAATGCAAGCTCTGTACTGCAAGATGCAGCCACAGCATCTCTGACAGATGGCCATTCAGCCTCTACCTAAAGACCTCCAGTGGAAGGGATCTCACTACCTCTTGAGGCAAGGTGTTCTGCTCCTAAATAGTCACTCACTGTTTTTCCTAACATTTTGCTGAAATCCAGCATTTCCACCCATTTGGTCTTGTCCTGCCCTTTGGAAGGAACAGAGAATGAGCTTTCTCTACTGTCTGTATTACAGCATTTCAGATATTTGAAGACTGCTATCATGTTTTTAAAAGATGCAGAAAAACAGGAAAGTGTTCAGAGGAAGGCAACAAAGATGATCCAGGGTCTGGAAACCAAACTCTGTGATGAGAGACTGAGAGAACTGGGCATGTTCAGCCTTGAGAAAAGAAGACTGAGATGGGATATGATAGCACTCACACTCAAAGGCTGTGACAAAAAGGAAGAAAAATATCTCTTCTTACTCATCTTGAGTGTAGGACATGGAACAATGAACTTAAACCACAGAACACCAGATTCAGGTGTAGGTTAGACATATGGAAGGACTTTCTGTCAGAGCAATACAACAGTGGAACCAGTTGCCAAGAGAGGTCAAGGGCTCTCCCATACTAGAGGCATTTAAGATAAAACTGGACAGATATCTGAATGGGATGGTGTATCTTGCTGTCCTGCACCAGCAAGGGCCTGATGGCTTACTTGGTGCCTTCAAACCCTACTATTCTATGAATCTTTGAATCTATGTCCTCCCATAGTCTTCTCTTCTCCAAGCTAAATATACCCAGTTCCTTCAAATATTTCTCACAGTATTTGGTTTTTACACCCAAAACTATCTCGGTCACTCTTCTCTGGATAAGTCTCAACTCATCTATCTCCTTGTTAAAATGGGGCACCCAGAAATAGACACAGTGCACCAAATGTGTTCTGACTAGCACAGATTGGAACAAAATGATTACTTTCTACGATCTGGACTCTGTACTTCTGCTAATGCAGCTCAAGGCTGTCAGTGTTTTAAACCATGGATGTTGAACCTCTTTAAATCCAAGGGCTGAATTCTATTTTGGAGACACTCTTGAGGGGATAAGTAAAGACAAAGGGAGCAGAACCAAAATACCACAAATACCAGCTTATTTTAGCTTAAAGCTCTTGCTGCAAGTAATTAAAGCATAGGAAAAGTGTTGAAAAATGGGGGGGGGGGGCTGCGCAAAGTCAAGAATCCATCAAATGATTGATGGGCAGGCAAAAAAGACATGAAAATCTGAGGAACCCTAAAAGGGCTATATTGGGACCCCAGGAGGACCCAGCAAAGTTCCTGAGATTCATTCTCAGGTTCAACACCCAAGGTTCAGGTGGAAAAGTCAGGTTCAACATGAGCAGACCTGAGGTTCAACACCACATCTGTTTTAAGTTGAGACAAAATCCTGGGTAACACAAATACCCTTGGTGGAACTGACATTTGCAGTTTCTTTGACTTGTAATCTCTTTTGCAAGTCTCTGAAAAGTCAGAATAGTTCAACAGCTTCTGAGACAACCCAACCCAACACCAACCTTCCTATAACTCCAGTGCTGGTTGCCCTTCATGCCATGGCAGTCATAAAGTGTGACAGGGCTACTGTGCGAAACAGCATCAAAGCAGAATTTTCTGGTGTGAAGAGGCTCTCCTGGACGAATGTCTTCTCTCCAACCAAAGGTGAAGAGCTAAGAAAAACATTCAAGCAAAACAGTGTTGTAATCTGGGCTTTGAACAAGACATGCAATAATAGGAATCATTCCATCTGGGTTCACTTGTGCGTAACATTTTAGTATACTCTAAGCAGCCATTAAGTCAAAATTGTTCGGCTTCAATTTAATAATTAATAACAGCCCAGAGTGCCTCTAAGGAATCATGATTAGATTCTGGCAAAAAAATCAGAATTAGTAAAAGGAAAGAAGACCCTGAATATAAAAAGGTGCACAAGAAAATGCTTATTCCACTGAACAGCAAAATTAGAAATAACCATCATTCTATAGAGCTGATCAAAATGCTACCGGGATAATGGGCGAGGGAAGGAAAGCCATGCAAAAAGGATGCTACATGAGGCCTCATTCTCAGTAAGGTGGTAAATTTGCATCCAAGCTAGATTGCTTCAGACTGGAGGTAGGTGGGGAGAGCTCACATGATCAAATAGGCTCCATACAAACAATTTCCTCCACATTAAAGCTAGATATCAGAGCGAAGGACCTTAGCTTAGCCTCCTCACTGACATTTTTACTTTCTGTGGATGGGAGCTCTAATTTGATTTATCATATTTATATCTGCTTTTTCTTGCCTGCAATCCAAGGAAGCTTACCTAACCTCTATTCTCACAACAACCCTGTGAAGTAGGATAGGCTGAGATTCCATGATTGGTCCAAAGTTACCCAGTGAACTTCATGGTCATGGAGGTTCTATTAGAAGCCAAATCCTCCTAGTCCCAGTTCAGTACCTTCTGCTGCACTGATACCAGAAACGTTCCGTTGCATGCATGCTACAGAACTGCACAGTGCACAATTGTACTTATAAAAGTCCTAAACCACAAGTCTGAAGAGCCACAGTCTAGGCAGAGATTTGCCATCTCAGCCAGAACTAAGCCTCAGTCTGCTCAAGAAGCCAGAATAGCAAATGTCAGCTCACGGGGGAAGTGTCTTTCTCAAACACACCCAGAGGATCATAGAATGAACTATAATGAATACTGTGTGCTTATTATAAGGTGGTTCCCAGCTGGGAGAATTAGCCCTTTCTTGATCTTCATTGACCGCAAAGAGATGTTAAGAATACAGCCTTATGCATGTTTGGACAGAAATAAGTTGTGCAACTTCCAGAATTTGTAGGAATTTTTACTGCCTAAACATGCATAGGAGAAGGAACCTAGAAATATGTATGTGTGTCTTTCTGTGCGCAACACGCATGTGTTTGCACACACACAATTTCTTTGACAGATTTCAAATCAGGCGGGAATAGTTCACATACAGGCCAAGAATGCTGTTGATTAGGGCAGGACAAGTTTCTTATACATTTATATATATTCAGTCTAGATGTGTTCTCCAAAAAAGTGAGAACACTTTAGGTAAAGGAATGGTAGCAACTTGGCAGAACAATTGGGTCAAGGATCTGTAAAATTATGTCTGTGTGAGTACAGCGAATCATTAGTATGGATTGGAGTGCATGTTACAAGTACAACCCTATCTGTTGTACCTTTTTAATATGGACAAGTTACACTTCTCCGTGTTTTAGCCACTCTTTCATTCCCATAGGTAGGCTGGCTAAAATCTGTTAGAAAGATGCATTTTCTTGCTGTTATAAACATAGAGCCTTATTTGTAGGACTTGTACACCACTCAATATCTGATTAGTTTATGGTAGTATAGTGGAGCACACATTCCAAAAGGACCAATGGAAACCACCTTTGCATGAAGACTGATCGTTACTGTGGCTATCACATGTAGTGTCAAGCATCAGTCTGGTTCAGATGCAAAGATCCGCCTCTGATCATTCATTCTTTCTGTGAACCAAGAAGTACTTTTGTGTCTGTGTGTTTTCCCTTTCTCCTTCCCCTTCCTTCTTCCCAGGATATATCCCAATTTGTAAGCAGCACTTTCATCACAGTTTCCTGGTTTGGATGGCAAAGGCAATAGGTGTTTTGCAAACTGTGGAAATGGGTGTGAAGAATGATGGTTTAACTGGGCTGGTGCTTCATTCTTGTGTTTGATGCAGAGAGTTTCAGCCCAAGCACTACCGGGAGAAGATCCTCCCCTGCTTCATTCTTGTGTTTGATGCAGAGAGTTTCAGCCCAAGCACTACCGGGAGAAGATCCTCCCCTGCTTCAAAGGACAGGGACAATGGCAGCTTCTACTGCTGCTGCTCTTCCTCATTATTGTAGTTGTCATTAGAGGGCTTTGTAAAGTTGAAGAGGTTGCTGATGCTTGATCTATAGAGGCTGTTGTCACAGAACTTATAAACTTAACATGTGGGAACTGACCTTTACTCAGGATTAATTAAATCAGAGTATTCTTACATGCAAACACTAACCCAAAGTATTTCCATTTCACTTTTTAAATGCTCTTTAGAAGTGGCAAAAATACACACAACCTCCCTGCTGGCGTGCAAGATACCTGTGTGAAAGGAACTAGTGTGTGTTGAGAGCTAGTTAGCCTCCCTTAAGTAGTCTTGCAGTGCTACCCCTTGTTCCACCATCTTCTGTTTTCCTTCATGAGATACCTTTCAGTGGGTAACCTACAGTCCCCTTTATTTGGAAGGTGCTGCACATTGCTGAGTTTCATCCAACCTTCTCCTCTAAAGTGTGCTGGGATCTCTCAAGGCAACGAATTGTCAGTTTAATTTCTCTCTTTTGTCACTTCCCTCTCCAAACTGCAGCTATAAAACTCACTTAGTGTACCCCTTTTTGCAGCTACTGGCTCCATTACAGCTTGTTAGAGCCTTTTCTGTGGTACTTTGAGTGATCAGAGGTTTATGGGGAAGAATCAGTATCTCACTCCATTGGGCATTGCATGACGATGCACCACAGAACTTAAAAGGAAAAAATGAATGACAGAGATCTATTGGTTCTAAAGCTTAATTTCTACCATCCTTTACTAGAGAGAGAGAGAGATTTGGTCCTGTCTTGGCTTTCTTTGAGATGGGATGTGAAGACAGGCCTCCAGTCTAATTTCGATATAGTGGGGTTTGGTTACTGCTCTTGTTTAAATTTTGGTATGTTTTGTGATTGGTTAAGATGGACTTATTGCTGTTTTGTTACATTATGCTGTTCTTTTGCTTACAGAATTTTAGACAGCATTCCGAGAGCCACAGGATAGATTGGATCGCTCACAATGAGGAGAGAGACAGAGTCCCAACCCTGGAGGGTGAGATCTGACCTTGGATCTTGCCATCCTTCTCCCAACCCATGGTGAAAGAGCTGCAGCAGGTATACATTTGGAGGTTTGGTGGCATGGTAGAGCAGGTGAGGCTCTGGAGATGCTGGATCCAAACCTTTTCCAGCTTTTTGCCTAAGAACTGGTCTGTTGCCATTTTTTTAAGCACAGGAGACAAGGTCCAGCAAATGCTGATCCATCCTTCCTTTTGCCCTGGCACCAGGAGCACAGCATTGCTTTCTTTGGAAATGTTGGAGTCCTCTGACCTTGGAGCACTCTGACTTAGCAACAGGATTGCCCAGCTAATGCGATTTTCATGTGGGATATTTTACTCCGTTTGTTGCAACTTATATTTGCTACTTTGTAAGCCAGATTTAGTGAATGTTTTCATTCTGAAATGCAGCATAAAGTAAATAGATAAAATAAATAAAGTAATTCTTCACAACCTCACAACTCCATGGAGCTTTATGTATTGCATTTAGAGCTGTGTTACGAATACTTGACTTCTGTTAGCATTTTGTGAGACTTTCTAAACAATCAGTTTATGTCATGGTGAGATGGTGTACTTAGCTAATGTCAGCCTCTGGACTAATGTTTTTTTTCTTCCCTTCCTCTCCCCACCCTGTTTGCAATTGGTAGGACCACTTACACTACAATGTGTTAAACTGCACTTCATCTGGGAGCCCTCATGCCCATTTTCCCAGGTGTTGCCCTAGATTTCTTCCCCTGTTGTACAGCAGGTGTCACAGGAAAAGTATGGGTGTTATTCATATGTTGTATGGATTCCAGATTGTGCTTTGTTGGTGGGAAGTCTTATTTTCCAGGGCCTAGCACTCAATTTGCAATACCAGAAAGTACAATTCTTACCCTATCTGCACCAAATGCTTCCATCCCTATTCACAGAAATCTCTCTCCCTCTCCTCCTCTCTCTGTGATATGTTTAGGCGCATACACACACACACATCTGCATTAACACATATAGACACCTATAGATGATATAGCTGACTAAGGGAGAGTAATCATTCTCATTCACCCCTCTGGCAAGGTATTGCTTCCATGTACAGCACTTGACTGAATAACATGTCTTTTTCTGCTGTTCCATCATGCTGTGAAAGCCAGGATTACTTTTATCTTGCACCCCCTGGTCCTCACTTTGTGAATGCTGTGGCTATTTTCTCATTTTTTTTATTGGCATCCAAGAAGTCAGTTCAACAGAGCCTGCTGAGCTTGTTTATCATGTCTGCAGCAGGGAGAACAGAGGCATAGAAGCCTGAAGACAGCAGCAAGACTTTTCTGGCTCCTGTTCAGTTCTTGCATAATTTCTTTAGCACTGAAGGTAAAATAAAGCTACAAAGAGCTGACAGCTTTGCTACAGAGATAGTCAGATGGCTCAAGGATGTTGCATTGATGCTGCAGGGCTAGGACAAGGATGGATCTCATCAAAGGAGATTTGCTGATGCCACATGGTGGTAGATTTGCAGGAATACCCAGAATGCAATGGGGTGGTAGTTGAAACAGCAAGGTCCTGCCAGCTACAATCAGGTTTTTGTTATTGTTTTCTGTTGGAGAATGGTTGGTTTCCTACCTTTAGGTGTAGAATTAATCCTAATGACCAGCTTCATGCAAAGAAAGGCTGCTTTGGGACAAGTCCAAATGTGGCTTGGGCAGGGGATCCTAGTTACAGTATTTTTCTTCAGTTGCTTGTGACTAGCTCTGAATTATCTTACACAGAACAGGGATCTTTTAGCCTGAGGGCTGAATTCAGTTTCAAGAAACTACTCTTGAGATGCATTCCAGGGTTGGGCAAGACTGAAGGGAAAGAGACAAGGTCTCTGTCCACCAAATACCAGCATGTTTTAGGGTCAAACTCTTCTTATCAATAACTAAGCCTTGGCTGAGGTATTTTAACCCTTTAGAGTGAAGGAAAATCTGCACAAAAGCTAGGGGAAAAAACACACACACAGAGAAAAAGATGGTTGGGACTGGCAAGAAGGGATGTGGTCATCCAGAATGCAGAGAGCCAGACTGGGATTCCAGGCAGATCAGATTTGGTGCCCAGACCTACGGTCCCCCACTCCTGCTAGAGAAAACGTAGAATCGATTCTGGAAGCACAGATTATTATTTAAAAGATATTTCAATATTTAAAGATATTTAAATCTTTAAAAGATATTTCAATATTTAAAAGATATTTCAAAATATCAATATTTCCTTGCAGGTGGCCCTTTATAAATGAGGGGCCCAATAGGCTCGCTCTAACTAATGTCACAGATTATAACAGTGCCTGTCAGCACTGTAGCCTCAGGACCATGACACCTAGACACTTAAAACTTGGCATGCCTGCTAAAGGGAACCCTCAGGACGGACTTCCTTGATCGACATATAGCTTTGAGTGACAATGCAGCTGGAAACCAGCTGTTCTTGCTGCTGCCTCTCACATGCTCTGGAGAAGGCTTCCCCACAGAGCACTGCCTTGGAGAGATTTCATCCTCTGGAGGCTAAAGAGCTGCACCATAGCTAGGCCATGCCTGGTGTGGCTTAACTCAATGGAGCAGAAACAAGGGATCTAACTTCAATAGTATTGCTTTTACAGGTTTGCTTGTAGGCTTCAATGCATGGAGGGCTGTTCCAACCTGAGCAAAGTTTGGGCCGTTCACTGGTAAACTATAAAGTCAATGTAGCATTGTGAAATATATTCAGTCAGATCAGGGAATTTGCAAATTACATCTTAATCTGCAGTTTTCTAGAAGGATTTGCATAAATTGTGGGGCTTCTCTGGTAAAGGACCTATGATAAACACAGAATGTGGAAATCAAGTACTTCTGCACATCTGGATAAAAGGATAACAACACTTTCACAGCAAATATTTGAATACTGATTTCTTCTGTCAAATACTAATTTTTCAAGGCTTATATTTTAATATTTTGCCTGAGCTTGAAATGTTGAATCCAACTAAAAATCCGCCTCAGAATCCAACTCAGTAGATTGTGATGGGCATTTTGGCATAATACAATTTCTTTAAAATATGTTTTTAGAGCCTGAAGTGCATTAGGCTACAGATACTGGAGAATTTGGTTCAGTCCACATTTTTAAATGGATGGGCAAAATTTGCACTACCCAAACTAAAACATCTATTGAATTTTGTGGCAGAGTTCTTGGCTCCAAAAATGTGCACCAAAATACCTATTTTAGGTGAAAACGCATACAAAATCTGTAGTTTATGGGAAATGCATGCAATTTAAGTTTGTATTCTTGCTGTATGCTTTGGAAAAAAAAAACAATTTGCAGAAAACAGGCTTGTGACTGAACATATGCAAATCAAAGACTGGAGACAGGCTACTCTGTCCTTTCTTACAGTAGGTGCAGCTGAGCTGAGAGTGTGGTGAATGGGGAGGGGGGCTTTTCACAAAGAATTTTAGGGGTGTCAAGAAGCACTCCCCCTTTGGGTGATTTCTGGAGTCAGAAAGTGTGGGACCAGTAGCGTGACATCGGTCCACTCAACCTGTCTTCTCTGATTGGCTAAACCAGTCTGAGCAGCAGTAGGGAGGAAATAAAGGGAGGGAAGGGGCTCAGAAAAGGTCAGTATTCTCTTTCTGAAGAAATATTTCTCCTCCCCAAAGCACTACTAGTTGGTATAGTCTGAAAACTTCATGGCAATGTTTGCCAAATGTGTATACCAGAGTAAATTATGCATTATTTTAAATAAGTAACATGGATCAGCATAATTTTTTCTGACTGACTATGTTGGTGCAACATAATTCTGTACCCAGCTGCAGAGAGGGTTGATTTACTTGTGTGTGTGTGTGTGTGTGTGTGTGTGTGTGTGTGTGTGTGTGTGTGTGTGTGAAGGGTGGTGGTGGTGGGGAACGGACTGCAAGGTATCAACTGGACATCCATTTTATATTTATATGAACTGTAGCATGATCATTCAATCCACCACCCGTTCCTCCTCCATTCCCCAGACTATATTAATCCTGGATAAGCACTCCCTCTTGAGTGGCTATAGAATCTGAAAATCTCCCACAGTTAAAACTAAACTAAAATAATTAATTTTTCTGTGTTGAGTTGTTGGTCCAGCACAGGGCTCTACTTGTCCAGCACTGCCCTCTGCTGATGGTTTCAGAAACCACATATTTTAAAAAATGCAGGCAGCCATGCAGATCTATTAGAAAAAAAATCCAAAATCAACAGTAAGGGAAAACCTTTAATTAGGACCAGCTAAAATGATACAGAATACTAAGTACTCTTCTTTAGGACTCTTCAGCATAGATATTCCATTTTTAAAAGGTGTGCGTATGGCACACAGCAGGAATTATGGTGCAGCACAGATTTTTCAGCCCTTTCCATCATACCTTGAAACATCTTTCTCTCCCCACTTTCCTGTTTTTTGTTTTTGTTTTTTTGTTTTTTGCTTTTGTTTTGTTTACAGGATGAACATTTCTGGAGAATTTGAAAGGTTGCTGATATACTATAAAACATTTCACTTCTTTCTAATAAATGACATCACAGTGTAGTTGCTTCATACAAGACTTTCCCATGCTGGCACCCTCTAGATATCCTGGACAACAGTGCCCATCTTTCAGCCAGCATGGCAGAGGTGCAGGCTTTCTGGGGTGATGGGAGCTGTAGTCCAGCAGATCTGAAGACATTTTGCTGTCAGAGGCATGGGACTGTATGGCCCTTCTCTCCTTTCCTGGGGAGAAACCACCCAGGCAGGGAGTTGAAACTCACTTTGGCATTGGAAATGATTTCAAGTCTTTAAGAAGACCTTAAGAAGAGCAACATAAATGAGGGGATGGCAGGCAGGCTGGGTAGCACATGCAGCCCTGCCCTCCAAGGTCTGGCTATCATCAAATCCCTTAGAATCTGCTGCTTGAGCATTTGCCTCATTCTACCTAGTGAGAAAGCCTGCCCTAGGCATGCTTAAAAGGCATACACTGCTTCCTTCGCTTGCAGTCTATAATTTTGTCTCTGTTCAACATAAATAGTCCTGTTCCGAGGTATCTATTATGCTACTTTTATTAACTTTATTAATAGAATATAGGAAGCATTTCTGTTTACCGTTAATAAAAGGTTGCATCACACAATGTTTTTGGCTCTGTGAGCTATATATTTGCAGCTGAACACAATTCTTGTGTTTCTGACATTACACAAAAAGGTGCACATGTTTTAGCCTAGACAGAAATAATTTATGTACAGGAGGGAAATGAGTTGGCTAAAGGAAATAGCCAGAGAAAAGTCTGCAGAATCTTGACAAAAGAACAAATCATGTGACTGGAAAATACCTGTTCATGTGACCATGTCCGTTCAGAGCCATCTTTCACACATATATCCAGCCGGAGCTCAGTGCCTGTGCCTCCATGCTTGCTATCTACGCAGAGGTTTGCTGCCACGTTTCGAATCTGTAAAATTAACCAGTTATAATTACACACCATAATCCTTTTCCACTGATTTTGCTGATAAGGAAGAGATATTTCTGGGCCATCTGTCTTGATCCTATCCAAAGAAGCTTGGTACAGGACAGAAATATACATATACCAGGTGTTGTCTGGTATATGTATGTGCTGGGGTTACTGTATTCTGACTAATGATAGTGAATAAAAACAGAAAAAATTATGCACATATATATGAAGGTTGAGGGAATGAACAACAATTGACAGCACTGATATGGATAATCGCCAAGAGTTATTGGGGAAAATGAGTGTATCAGAGATAGTTTTGGGGATGAATAAGCAGGAAGAAAATCCAACATGTCTGGCCCCTGATTTAGCCTCTAATTTTATTATTTTAAAACAAAAGGCCTTTACTATGGAAATCACAGTAAGAAAAATAGACTGGAACATAATTTTCTACCTTGAATATAAGTCATTCCATCTCCTGCTGAAGTTCAAATAGGCCTGGAATAAAGCTTCTCTACTAAGACAAATCTGTTTATTGTCTTAGGTAAAGACAGGCACAAAAGCAAGGCTATAATCAAGCAGGGACAAAAGTAGATGGCACTTGGCAGATACGTGCAACAGTCGTTTCTCATTTTGAAAAATGAAAGGAAATGCAAGATACAGGGTTTGATTGCAGGAGAGGTAGGGGTGGGCAAGTCAGTCACTTTCAGTTTGAATTTTCTAAATTTCAGGTTCTTTCTTTCCAGATAGGAAGAACTTTGCAAATTTTGATAAATTATTTAAAAAAACATACTGAAAATAAATTGTTAACTGTTTGTGTTAAACGATAGATTATAGCTATTACCAGCATGGAGAGGACCATGATATACCTTTGTTTCATACAGGTGTTAAAGATGAGGAGTATTTAAGGGGGAAAATGTCAGTCCTACTTAAGCACTAACATTATGTAATATACAAGCTTTTGAAGTTAAACACTTAAACCACTGAGCCCAGATTTACTAATCTGTCAAGTTAGGTTTCTTCTATATTCCATTGTTTTAAAATAAAAGCTTCCTTTTATCCTGGTTAAACAGAATGTTGTAAATTTGGGTAAATTCTTATCTAGACCAAACTGAAATGATATAATCCATCATAAATTGGCAGACAAGGAAGGAATGCTAGACTTTATTCCACAGCAATGGATGGATAAGCATTTTTTGCAGGGTATAAGGAATGGGTGGAAAAGTAGCTGGGATAATTTTGAATGGAAATGTGGTGGGAGGAATCCCTTTATCTCTGCCACTCTTCTTGTGAAACAGCACCTAAGTGCTGTCTATTGGAAGGATGGGAGATCATCAACAAATTTGACACGTAACTCATCATTTGTTCTTAGATTAAGACCACTCCTTTCAGATATATGCAAACACCATTGACTACAATAACACTCTAAGAACAATCAGCTTTAGAAGTTCAATTTTCTTTATGACCAAGGAATTTGAAATCAAGTGTATTATTAGCTGCCAAGGCTGAGGCAATCAACAGAGACTATCTTGAGAGAGATTATCTCTGAATAAGAAGGGAGGAGAGAAGAAATACCTGGGAGATCAAAGTTCAGCTTGCCTGTCAGGATTTCTAGCCACCACCGGCAACTCCTTCATCACAGATCAGAGCTGGTTTTAAGCCGAGGCATAGCACTTGTTCCTGTTGCATTTATAAGTTCTTGGATATTTGCTCAAATGCTACAAATCCACACATGTGGAACTTCATAAAGTAGGCAGCATGAAAGCCTTTTTGGACCCATACATGTGGGGTTTTGAGGAAACCACCCCCGCCACCCACCCCTTGTAGCAAAGCCTAAGAGGTGCAGGAAGGCTGCTGGAGCTAAAGAGAGAGTCAGAACATTCTGTCTTCCAGCAGGTGCAGTGGAGATGGTTGGGTCCAAGATTGAAGCACCTTCAAGATAGCTCTGGATTCAGTCTGGATTTTCTATTGCTGAACTTCATCCCCTGAACACCTTGCAGTACAGTCAGTGGATACCCCATACCAGTGACTGGAGCCACTGGCCACTGGCAAGACTTTAGGATGCCTTTGGGTCCTGCATGGCTATTCAGCAAGATATGGGGTTGAGTCACTTTTCTTTCTGACAACTAGATGGATGAGGCAGGGAACCAGTACAGGAGGGAAATGTCAGCTGGCTGAGCATCTATCTTTCCTGCATGATACATGGTGGCTTCTTTCCAGGTGGCTTGTCATCTGTCACTAGTCTCATCACTCTTTTTTAGACCCAGGCATACCCATCACTCACACCTACTCTGTTCTCCCTTCTAACTTGCAGGTGACCCTAGTTCAGAAATGCACAGCCTTTCCAGTTCTGAGTTGCGTACACATGCTCACACCCTGCTGGTGATAGCAGTTTGCATGCAAACTCTTTCATTTGTTATAATCCCTTTAATATATGTACATCTACAACAGCAGTACTGCATCTCCAACATTTTCCAAATTAGGCAATTTCATTTAATTTTACCAGTTAATTAAACTTTTCCTCTCTCCCCTGCACTCTACCACATTGAATTCTAATCTCAAGAAGTGTGTTTCTCTCTGCCTCTTGGCAGTGGCAGCAACAGTAACAGCAAAGAGTCACAGAGGCCTCTGACTCCAGCTACGAGACTATCTTCTAGTATATGACTGAGCAGATGCTCACAATGTTTCTTGCCCTCTGGCTGTGGCTCCAAGAATGCCATTTCAGAAGACCCTGTTCAAATGAAAGAAGCAGGGAGCTGATCTGGGAGAAGTAGCCCCCCAGTCCTGATGCAATAGTGTTAGATCTTCTGGTGGGGATTGTATAACAGGGTTTGTTCCAGTTAGTTGCAGCCTGTGGTCCACAAAGCTCTGCTCTAATTTTAAGCATTATCTTTGACCTTGGGCAGCATGGTCATTCTGAGCTATTCAAATCTTGATCCACAGAGAATCTGAAAAAAATGAGGCTGCCTGCTCAAACCGTACTCCTGCAGTCCTTAACTTCTTTTTAGTCACTGCAACTGAAGCATACCTCTCTATTTGTCCCCATGTTGTGCTAGAGACCAAATGCAGTTCCTTCTTGGTTGATTTTACTCTGCAGGAGGTGAATTATTTCTTGTCCCTACTGAACATAAGCCACAAGCTAGCTAGAGAGAATCACAGTTACCCTCTGGGCATGTAATGTGAGTATAGCTTGACATGCCACCTAAACTATAATTTGTGTAGCAACATTTCAAGTCCTTGTTTCGCACATCCCAATGAGAGTGTTTACCCGTTGTTTTCCCCATCAAGTACTGATGTATAGAATCCATCAAGTGGCGCTAAACAAACAAGATGTGATAGTTTGTTGGGGAGATGGCAGCTTACAAGGCTTGCTACCAGGCAAATAGGGCTGATTCAAACGTTTTTTAAAACATAGCGTAGCCAAGGTCAAGCTGCCTGGGGAGAATCACCTTCTTGGTATGTAAACCAACAAGCCACATAAAGTAACTTTTGCAAGCTGACTTGCACATTTTCCATGGATTTTGTTCTGTGTGAATACCCCCAACAAGTGTCCAAGTTTAGGCCCACATTCAAGATGTGACTTACCATGTCCTGAAATATCTTCAGACAGTGTGCTGACCCAAGTCATGGGGAGTCATGATATCGATGTGCCTGTTGGGGGCATTCACACAGCTGGTCCCACTGGAAAAAATCCATTGAAAATTAAACTTGTGTTGCCTTTGTCATGTTGGGTAAGACCAAGCAGCCTTCAGTTGTCAGTTGCACATTTGCCCGAGAACCAAGGAGTAATCACACCTTGTCTCTGGCAATGGATTTATACACTGCTGTGACAGCACAGGGAGCATTTTATTACTTGGTAAGCCATTCGTTTGAAGCAGGCCCTTATGTGGGCGAAGTGATTTTGTGCCTGTCATTTGACAACAGTCGCCACATGGAGAGATTTACACTGGCTTCCACCTAGAAGCTGAAAAGGAAAATTGCAGCCTTAAGGCAAGCCACTGTTGAGTGCTTAATTAGTCCTACAGCTTGCAGACCAGCCATATCTGAGGCCCAGGAGCTGCTCTCGGAAGAGAAGCCTTTTAAATGTAGCAATGTGATGAGTGCCAATGGCAAGAACAGCTGGTGCCAAGTTTAGTCTGCCATTACAAGCACATGGACTTCTTCAGGTGATGTAAGCATTTTGCAGAAAATCTGTTGCTGTACTGAGGTAAGGCAGGGCATTTTGACAACTTTTTTGGCAAATGCAAAGTTGGGAGAGCAACTTGCGAGAGCATGTGCAGAAAATGTATACTTTGGAATCTTGGAAAATGTTGGAGAGGGCATGCCTGAGTTCAGATCTGTAAGGCTGCGTGGAAAACAATGTATTCCTTTCCTGTTATTGTCAGCCGGTGTTAAGCAGATGAGAACACATTCATTTTAAAAATGCTACATGTACATGAAAGTAGCTGCTTCACTAAAAAAAGAAAAAAAGAAAAAGATTAGCACTTTTTATTACCAATTCCCAATGATGGTTTAGAACATAGGCTGTTGAATCTCATGCACAAGATTTAAATCCAGCCCATTTGGGTTTTCAGTCTGGTGTTCTTGATTTTCCAGATGGCCATGTCTCTTTCCCCTTGACCACCAAATGTCTGGTGGCTTTTTGTGTGTGTTTTTGCCCCATTCCAAAAATTTAAAATGCATCTCCTAAGGCATTTAGTGCTTTCACTAAAATATGCTGTTCTTTTACTATTTGGGCCTCACTTTTTTGCCTTTATCCATGCCCTCCACTGGAATGAAGGTCCTGAGATCTTCATCTCAGCCTGAAAGAGCTCTCTGCCAGCTCCATTTAGAGAATCTGAGTACCAGCTGTATCAAGCCATAAATACAAAATCATAGATTTCTAGAAGATGGGTAGATGGAAGCCGACATTCATGTAATCAAATTCCTTGAATGATGGAAAGGTCCCACATCCACACATTCCTAACAGAGGACCACATGTTAGAAACAGCCTATACACATCT